GAGTGACAGTAATGTTCCAGACTTTTGTGACTGAAGGACTTTAGCAAAAAACCCTGTCCATTTTGTACACATGGTAAATAGTTAACATCATCAGTAAGGCACTACTGGAGTGGCAATCAGCATGTCCCCCCAACCACTGCTCAAATTATTTTGTGATCCATAGTTATCAATTCATAATTATTGTTTTTATTTGATAATCTAATGCAGTAAAAACACTTTGTCCTCAGATAATGGTATTTAGGCTACACACAGACATTCAGTTGCTACTGGCAGGGTTGCTGCTCTCACAGTAGAAACCATGAGTCTACAGACGTTCAGGATGTCAGCAAAAATGGCAATTCCAGAAGTAAGAAAAACCAAGGGACAGCCAGCCTTAAATCACTCTTGGGAATGTTTATGTATACTTACCTTCTGAGGGAAGCTGCAGCACAGTCCTCCAGAATCCCAGTGCGCTTTGTTCTAATCTCTCTCCCCTTACCATGGGTGCAGGGAGAAAGTGTGTCTTTGGACTGGACTTTAGTGTTCCAGCTGAGCAGAAAGCTGCTTCACAAGCTCACATCATGCTACAGTCTGGATCAGCCATTCAGGGCCACCCCATGCACTGCTGTTACCTTATGCCAGGCAGATTGGGGACCTGCAGAGCATGCTGAGATATGTATACAGGGGGCTGGTTGGGCAGTGGCTTGGCATTCAAACGTCAGTTCAGGGGTCTCCAGCTAAATTTTCAGGCAAGAAAGCAAAACCAGGAGAATTCTTCCAGATAAACATCTTTTGAACATGTGTATTCAGCCTTTGTCTCCTGCTATTATAGAATATTTCTTCATTTGATCAAGACTGTTTGTCTCCCTTTCAGTCATTTGGCCCCTTAATAATCTTCTGTACTGTACTTTATTAGTAGGTTATATCTGCTGCCAAAGATTATGTGAGGTAAGACATACTGTATGTAAGTAATCGCCTCTCTGTCAATTCAATATCAACATATAGTCCTATTCCACCAAGAGAAACATTTCAAGAGCAAGTCGTTCTAGGAAAAATTAACATCTTAATTTACAAAGTTGAGAGCAATTACATGTTATTGTAGTTTTTCAAATAAGCAGCCCAATTAAAAAATTAAAATAAGTAGCCCAAATAAAATTAAAATATAAACTTTATATTTTCATCCATTTAATTGTTTCTTAGGGCTGCATAAGTAAAATTGTTGCTCTCCCTAGAAAGCTCTACTTCTTGGATATCAATGCAAGTATAGAATGAGCTTCCGACATTAAAGCATTACAGCTTTCATCCTGTAAACTCTAGGAGTAAACCAGACAGCAAAGGAGAACAGTTTTCCCTACAGAAGGATACGGGAGGGAGTTTGTAGTGCATGACCATGACAACTACTTGCATTTTCAGCTCACATATTGCATATGAACTAATATAGGTTAGAGAAGTTGGAGAGCATGAACTACTGTTGTGCGCCTACACTCTTGTATTTAGTCGTGAATGGGCTCCACATCTGTGATACTGCAGTGTCTTGTGGGATGCAACTGCTGTATAGTGCACCTAATAGTGAAGTAGTGTCATTCTTAATGTTATGGTTTCTTGGTTGTGTTATTTAGTAAAATGTCTTTATAACATTGGTACTTAATACTATTTTTTTAAAAAAGCTGTATTTTTAAATGCTTTTTCAAAAGGTAATACATGCCATCACTGATATAGATTTCATAGACATTGGGGCTGGAAGGGACCTCGGA